TAATCTCATTAATCATTAAACTACCTTTTCAAAGTTAACTTATTTCAATCAGGATATATATTTCTGTAATAAAAATAGCTTTTGCTCCTCTGCAACAGTGATTAAACCATAAAAATAGTTTAATCACTGTTGAAGTCTTGCATTGATTGACCACTTTTTCTGCCATATCATTAACTGCTCTTGGTGTCAATAACGTCCTTGTTTAGCTTGTTTGAACAAATTGTCATTTAAACATGAAGAAGAGCTCTTCAGAAAACTGTCATCAATATTGAGTTGATCAACTAGGAACTTGCTTTTGATAGAAACAAAGTCATAAATGTTTTTCTCTGATATTGATTCAGAAAGAACGGTTATTAATTGTATGGTAAACTATAGAAGAAAGTTGAAGAATAATTTACATATAAGACATATAATTACATATAATTCCAAAAAGTAAGCGACAAATGTCTACTTTTGATGCAATGTAATGTTTATCGTGGGCTGATGGTTTTCTTTAGCTAAGTTAGCAACCATTTTTACTTTGGTTTCTTGATTGTTGTCATTGTCAAATAAAGACAAAACACACACTTCATTTGTCAAATATATAAATGCTGGCAAAACTTCTGTAAAGCTGTTTTGGAAATGTTTTTGTCTATTATTTCATAAGCTTTCATGGACATTAAAAAACATAAGTTCAAAAAGTATAAGTTATGATTGAGTGAGAGTGCTTTTACTGCTAAAATGCATTGGAGCCAGAATTTGGCATAGTATGTCAAGCATCCAACAGAGCTTCTTTATTTTTGTTTGGAATTCTGAATTGGGAGCTTAGTGTTGATATTTTTAGCAAATAAATGGCTCTTGCCATCCACCGAGCTTGGTGCATAGCACTTAGAGCTGTATATTAAATTTCTTATCTTTATGTCAAATAAAAAATATTATTAAAAGCTCAATTAATTCACAATAATCATCTCTAGCTATTTCTTTAGTCATTTCAAATTAGTAGAATTCTAGCAGTTTATCAATTTCTAAAACATTTAAACAAGATTTTTCTGTACAGATTTGTTTTTTTTTGGCATCAACATTTTTCCTCTTTTTTGGAACTTTTGAAACAATGAAATATCTTGGGCTTTTAGTTATTTGGCTGAATTTTGCTTTAGACTCACTTTTTAATACTAGTTTGTAGACATGATGGTGGCAAACAAATATAAGCGTTTCTCTATCCAGTTTTTGTTTGAGAAGCACACATGCACCATTAGTACGATTTGTATTTGAAGCAGTAGTATTATAAAAGAAAATCTGTGCTTTGTCCTAGAGATAGGTTAGATAATCTCTGTCCTAGATCTGGTTGATAATAACATTTCAAAATGCTTGTGACTGTTCACTATATGATGAGCTATCCAAATTTGCCATAGCGATAAGTTGTTTGTTATCATCATATGAAATAACTATATGAAGGCGTACTTCTTTAGGTTTAAGTGAATCTAGAGCCAGAAATAGTTTTTCATTCCGGTGGACAGTTACTGTATCCAGGATATTGTTTTAAAAATTAACTTTTATAGCTTTAACCCGCTCTCTTTGCATTCCTGTAAGAATTCTATAGATTGTTTTATTATAAATGCAGAGACTCTCACACTTAACTGACATCTATCTAATGTGACAACCAACTTTGCAGTTTAAAATTTTTCCGCATATAAGTTTTATCGGGCTGTGAAAAAGCACCACTCTTCGAGAAAGAAACTCTTGTCAACATTGTTCAAACTTTTTTTTTCAAATCTTCCCATACTTGGTATAATGAAACTAGCTTCTTAACACAGTAAGGTACTAATTTATTCCATAAACACGCCTTTTCCTAGTGAATAATGCACTCACAAATAGGAAGATTTGTACTTTCATTAATACTAAAATTCAATTTACAAATATATTATTGAACAAAACTCCCAGTATTTGTCCATTAGAAAAAAGTTTTAAACCGGTGATTTGATGTTTTACGTGTCCTATTAAAAATATCTCTTTTTTAGAACTTTGTCACTCCACTGACATGTTGACTACTCAAAAGTAATGTGGTTATTTATAAAATAAATAAGTAATAGCAAGAACGCAATGCAAGATATTATATTGCTCCATAATATGCAAGCACAGACATGTTTTGCTGCACAAGGTCATGATCCTAAGTATGCAAACCTTAATTTTTAAATGTTTTGATTCCATTCAAACAAAGTAATCAGATGTAATTAAAAATAATTATAAGGTGTGCACTAAAAAAATATAATAATTTTTTGAGGATTGGATTAAACAATATTGTCTAACTAGCATTAGACATAACTAACATTTTATCCTTAATATACTTATATATATAGATATATGTACTTATATCAAAGTACTTATATATATATATATATATATATATATATATATATATATATATATATATATATATATATATATATATATATATATATTTGTGTGTGTGTGTGTGTGTGTGTGTATACATATATATACACACACACAGAGTCTATTCTAGATCGTTTTCGACAGCATCGACCGTAATTGGGCGCTGCCCAAATTAGAGTTAGAGGATTTTTTATTTTATACGGTTTTTACAGCAAATATTGTAATTTTTGAGAAAAAATGCAGATTTTTTCACTTTTTTCTAAAATAGCCCTTGATATATATACTTATATACATTTTATAAATTTTAGTCCAATATTTATATATATATATATATATATATATATATATATATATATATATATATATATATATATATATATATATATATATATTATATATATATATATATATATATATATATATATATATATATATATATATATGTATTTATTATTTATGTAAATTATATAAATGTTACATGCTATTTCTAACTTGTTATTAGCGCTAATTATACAATTGCTGTTTGTAGCTATTTATTAATTATGTTAAAGGTGATAATGGTAAGCATTCATCTACTTTCAAAAGCTCATAAATGTGACCAAGTTGTTTCTTCACTAAAGCAACTTATTGCTGTTGTCAATATAACAAAGGTTTGTGTTTAGTAAAATTTTAAAGTACATATTTTTAAACAATTCAATGTTTTTTTTTAATTTATAAATCAATTGTATTTTTAATACTTGCATTTTGTGCATATTCTTTTCATAATTGTTATTTTTTGTTGCTGTTATTTTTGAAAAAATCATTATTTTCAAGTTTAATTTTTTCAATTTGGAGTTTACAATTTCTTTTTAAAAAATGAATTTATTATAAAAGTAATTTTAAATCAAATTAAATGTATTGTGAAATAGATTTATATTTCATGGAAAGTTTGCATATAGTACAATTACTAATTTTAAGTAAATAATGAAAAATTAAAAAACCTTAATGAAAAACTAAAAAATTTTAATAGTACAATATTTAAATGGGAAACTTTATGTTATAATAAAGTAAGAAATTTAATATATTTAATTGTTTAATATATAATAGTTTAATAATATTTAAGTTAACTTGGCTTACTTTACTCTCTCAAAATGCAAAAGCAAAGAATCATGGTGAATGAAGGAAATCTGTATGTTTTTTTGCTTACAAAAAGCTAACAGAGAGATGAATGACTTTTTGTTTGATCGTTCATAAAAAATCTTTTGGTAAATAAATTTATTTCAATGATCCTCAAGTGCCAATTGAAATATGTGAGAAAAGTCAAACAGTTCTTAGTGGAAGAGATTCAGTTAAAGATACTCCTCTAAACACTGCCTGACTATGGAGCAGTGAAGAGTTGTCCTAATATAAGAGAGTTAATATGTGACTGCTTGATTTGTTGCATTGAAAGTACAAAATGATAATCCTCTACCAAATAGCAATGCCTATATATTTCACACAAAAGAACAATCAGCAGTTTAGAAACATGCTTTTCTATCATTGGTAGAGGTGTTCCTCGTAGTTGCACCAAACAAACACTTGAGCAGAATGTTGCCACAAAAGACAACATTAGAGCTGAAAGAGAAGTTGCTATAGTGATTTTAAACAAGACTCCTTCACCTCATGGGACTGTAAGACTAGATCAAAGAAAATAAAAACTTCTTTCTGTAGTTCCAGGTAATGCATTTTTTAGGTCCATAAATTTTAAGTTTAAAAAATTATAAATATTTAAAAAGAATTAATTAAAGCTTTAAGAAGTGTATATCATGTATATCAAAGAATTTACCAAAAAAAAATACAAAAGCTTTTCTAAAAAAAATTGTTTCCAGGACCTTCTAAACGTAAAGAATTGTTTATGTGCTTTGATTGCTTAAAATCTCCTTGCATCAACTTGCAAACTTGTATTAGTGAACCACTTATTCAAGAGCCTTGGTCTTATCTGGCCAACAACAACTAAATTGCCAAAAATGGTAAACATTTAGCAAAAACCATTTTGTGAAGGGCTATTTAAAGGAAATGCCTGCAGAAAGCTTTTAAAAAGTGTTGACTTGCTTTAACTGTTGGCTGAAAACCATGCTTGCTTCTTGGTGTTTTCATTCATTCAAAATTCTTTAAATTTAATGCAATAGTTGATGCTTGCTTTAGAAATATTGTTAAAGAATTACCTGTTTTAAATAAAAAAAATGCTTAACACATAAGCCTAATGTGAATTTGACGTCATAAAATTATCTTAATTTTTTAAAGACATTAACTAATTTAAATTACTGCAATAATATTAATTACCGCAAAACAAGTTCAATACTCTCTGTTTTGAAATACTGTACCGATTTTGCATAATATAAAGAAACATTGAAAATAAATGTTTTTAATAAAACACATTTTTTATATAAAGTATAGATGTTTTCTATAATGTTATAAACAATTTATTCAGATAATATTATATAATACCATCACATTATTAATTTCTAAAAAGGATGTTTTTTTATGAAAATTTTGTTCAAAAATTTTGTTTAGATTTGTTAAAAATGAATTATAAACTTAAAAATTTGATAACATTTTATCGTTTTTTTGTGGAAAAAAGAAAATAGTAACAGCTTTTTAAAAGTTCTTAACTTGTATAAGTATCAGCTTTATGAAAATAAGAAGAAAAAAAAATCATCAACTGAAAGTTTTTTACAACTGAAAGGAAGAATCAATAAAATCCCTTTAACCAAGAGTAAAATGATTTGATCATTGGCAGGACCTTTAAATATTTCAACAACCCTTTATTGTTGACTTAAGACTGTTGATCTGAGAGTATGCACGTCAGCTGTGAAATCTTTTTTAACAGATAAAATAGGAAGCATCGTATTGAGTTTATTCTTTCTCACTTACAATTTTTACAAATGATAAAATTTGTAAATATGTTCAATATTATTCATGTAGATGAAAAATGGTTCTATTTGACCAAAGAATCAGCACGTTACTATTTGCAACCTGAATCCCATCGAAATGTAAGTTAATGAATTTTGTTATAAAAATTATGTTCCTGGCCGTTGTTGCGAGACAAAGATTTGACCAACATACAAATGAATGGTTTGATAGAAAGATTAATATTTGGCCATTTGTAAAGCAAGAGCCTGCAAAGAGAAACAGTAAGAGTTAAAGTAAAGTAACACTAGTTACAACTCCAAATGTTGAAAACTTGAGTACCGCAACATGCTTTTAAATAATGTTTTACGAGCCATACATTCAAAATGGCAGTGAAATCATATTTAAAGGAGTCAATTATAAAAAAAAGGTCAATTTATTTTTTGTGCTAATTTTTGATACAGCCTCGTAATTTGTTTAAAGCTAAATTTTGAGTCAAAAAAAATTGAAAAAACTATTGCGATAAAGAAAGATAAGAATAGATAAAATTTAGATACAACATTTAGTAATATTTTTAACTTAATTTGACAGTTAAGTTAGACCCAAGCCTTAACATTATTTTTTATAAAAATAAAATATATTTTTTTATTAGAATCAATATATATATATATATGTGTGTGTGTTGAATTTGATTAAGAAAGCTGCGTATAAACTTTTTGTTTTATATATATTTTGATATTATTATATATCTACAATATTTCACTAACCTATGGCAGTCAGCAACATCAGGTTTACACCTGTTATAATGGTCTTTGCTTCAAGCTTAAAGTATTAGCGTTTTTCAAGCGATCATTACAATTAAAAAAAAAATTAATTATAAATTATTTGTTATTATATAGAAATTTAAGAAAATTTTTTTTATTGCAATCAAAAGTTGCATAAATTTTCTTGTGCTAGCAAGATAATAGATAATAGTTTTTATTATATATATTTTTTTTATGGGTTGTTTTTTTTTTTTTTTTATTTTTTTTTTACGTTTTGTTTTATTAAAAAAAAAAAGTTGTTGTTAACTATAAACAATTTTCTTTTCTAATTATTATCAAATTTTGATAAAATAGTTAGCTTAATAGAGAAGTTTTTTTAAGTTTTCGTTGTTTTTAATTATTTTTTTTAGTAAATAGTGCTTATATCTAACATAATTGTCATGCAAACTTTTTTACACAATCTTAATTCAAAAATTAATTTGGTTTTTTGTAAAGTTAATTACTTCTATTGTTTTACCTCTTATCTAATAATTTAGAAGCTAAAAATTATAAAAAGTTGCTTAATGGAAATCGCTCTAAGCATATTTTTTTTATGTTGATCTTAAAAGAATGTTAGGAGGCTGAAAAGAAAATTTGTAGCAAAAAAACAACAGCAAGATTTTTAATTTAAACGGGTGTTTTGAGTAAGTTTGAGGGGAGGGGACTTTCGCCCTACGCACCCTCCCCTTCCTCCTAATCCAGTGTGTGGGTATATATATATATATATATATATATATATATATATATATATATATATATATATATATATATATATATATATATATATAATATATATATATATATATGTATATATAATAATAATAATTGTAATATGATCTTATAATCATTGATCTTATAATCATAATAAAACTATCAAATATTGAAAAAAAATGGGGAGGGAGCCGTAGTTCTTTTTACGCACTCTGGATCTAGAATCCTGGAAGTTACATAATAATTATATCTGTTTTATTTCACATAGTTTACTTTTTACCTAATATAATTGTAAATTTTAGTATTAATTGACTAAAACCTTTCCAAAATTAAGCATTAGTTAAAATAGACTAATTTTTGAAAAAAAAAACTAATTTTAAAACCCGTTTCCCGGTAGGTAGACATCAATATTTTGTAAAAATATTATTATATTTGAATTCCCTATACCCAAATACATAGGAATCCAAGCGTGCTAGTCAAAAATTTAAAAATTTAAATTTTGGCTCTAGTATGATATACCCTAATATGTAATGCATACATAAATTGCAGACAGCTTAACGCTATAAAACAAAGCCTGTATTATTCCAATATTATGCTATTATTTTATATTAATACAGCTGATGATTGTCAAATGGCATGAAACTTTAAGCTCCATTATAAAGTTGTATTTTTTAAATATATATATATATATATATATATATATATATATATATATATATATATATATATATATATATATATATATATATATATATATATATACAATGGTTGAATTAGGCGATCGCGATTTGCAATATCTAGAAAAATATCTGGTCTTCAAAATTTTAGTTTATGCAAAACCATGACTTTGTTTTCATGGGGCAAATTAACTTAAATTTGTAAGCAAAAAAGTAATAAAAAACAAAACAAAACAATAAACTTGCGACTACAAAAGTAACAACACTTTAGTCACTGTGTTATAAAAGTAAAAAAACTTTAATAGTGTTATTACTTTAATAACACACTTAAAACTTTAACAATTTCTTTGTTCACACAACATAAGTGCTTTCAACTTTTAATTGAAGTATCTAGTAAAAATAAAAATAGATAAAAATAGAAATATAATTTTAAAAACCATCTAGTAAAAAAAGAGTGGATATTTAAATAATATTAAAAACTTTAGGAACTTAAACTAATATGTACTTGAACGAAAATGTAAGGATACAAAATGATGAACTTTTTATAAAGTTTATCATTTCAAAAAAAGTTACTAATCATCCATAAAAATGTGCATAATTTTTAAAATCAACCAATCAAAAGTTTTGGTTAGTTCATTTTAAAATTAACATGCATTTTTACAAACCATTAGTAACATTTTTGAAATGCTAAACATAACTTATAACACATATTTGTTCCTGAAGTTTTTAGTTTTATTTGAATATCCACAAAATTTTTTTAGGCTCTTTTTTACTTTAATTAAAATTTGGGATTATATATGTTGTTTGAACAAAGAATGAATTATGATATAAAAGTGCGTTATAAAAGTAATAACACTATTAAACTATTTTAGTTTTATTACTTTTATAATTAGTGACTAGATTGTTATTACTTTTGTAATCATAAGTTTTGTTTTGTTTTAAAACTTTTTTGCTAACAAATTTAAACTAATTTGCTCCATGAAAACAAAGTACACGGTTTTGCATAAATTAAAATTTTGAAGATCAGTTTTTTTTCCAAATATCACAGTCTGTGATCCCTAAATTCAACCCTTGATAAATATATATATATATATATATATATATATATATATATATATATATATATATATATATATATATATATATATATATACAAACATACATACAAACATACATACAAACATACATACATACATACATACATACATACATACATACATACATACATACATACATACATACATACATACATACATATGTATATTAAAAAGATATGTTTTTTTAAGAACTCATTAATGTCGCAGTATATCAATTGCATTTTCCATGTGTTTCCTACTCTTCATTTTATCTTGAAGTTGTTAAATAATGAAAGGTAAAATACTTTAATTTGAAGTAGTGTTATATTATTTGGAAAATAATGTTTTTTGGTAATAAATTTGAAATAAATAAAATTCAAAAAAAAAATTTATTTAATCATCATATAAATTGCATACTTCTTTCAATGTTGAACAAACTTAAAAAAGCGGTATTAGACTAATCTCTTTATTTTCCATCGGAAATTAGAAATAAATTATATTTTGTGTATATACATGTATTATGTATATATGAATTCTTTAATGTAAATTTAAATAAAGCAAAGTTCAAGCATCAAAACAAGATTTTTTTAATGAAAATACCCAACACAATTAAATTAACAAAAAGCTGCTATTATTTTTGAATTGACCTTATATATACTTTTAATTGTATACCTTTTTTTTAGTTTTTAGTTTTAGTTTTAAAAAGTTCTAATAAGTTCTTTTTTTTTTTAGGTTTACAGAGATATTTGGTTTAATGTTTGAGTTAGTCAGTCAGTTACTTTTCAATCATCAAACAGTCATCAGTAGTACAGTACATTCACTGCTAAACTGTGCAAATGATATCTTTTCTCTTTGATTTTGTTTCCTATTAAATACTTAATTTATTATTATTATTATTATTTGCCTCCAAAAGGCCAAGAGGGCTACTACAGTTAAGGAGACTCCTTTATTGTATTTACAACCCTCTCTCAACGCTTTAACTTCAAAACGAAGTTAAAGAGTTGAAAAAGTGCTGTAACCATAATAAAGTCCATAATAACCTCCTTGCATGAAGAAACAAGTGGATATTATAGTCAAAATATTATTTTTGACAGTTGTCTAAACTCTTGTAAAAGCTTCATATTCATAGTCATACAGAAATGTCAGAAGTCAAAATATTTTGTTAAATAATTTATCAAGTAATAATCATCAGAAGTCTGAATCATTAAAATCACTGTAATCACTCTAGTTGTTTTTTTTGTTGTTTTTTTTCAATTTTTTTAATTTATCCAAAATAGCAAAGCGTCGGGTCTTTACGATATTTTTTAAAAATTATTCAAGACTATCATAATCTCATAAAAATAGTTTTTAAATTGTATAAATATTTTATCAAACATTTTTTAATATAATTTTTAACTCTGTTGTTTAAACATTTACTTCACAATTTGATAAATTATATTAATAATGATGGCAAAGATGATGAGGATACAAATCGTTGTTGTGAGCAAATGGCAAGGTAATTTTCAGTATTAAGTTGGTTGTGACATTGATATAAGTAAATAAAGTCATAAGTAGATGAAGGCATTTTGTTGCAAAATACAAGTTTCTACTTTATTACGTGAAATAATGTTTTAAGTAACACTCTTTCACATGAACTTATATATACCACACAAAGAAGTGCTAAAGTATCATCTTCTTGGTGGATGAAGAAGTTATGTTACACATCAATTCACCCACAACAGTACATAACATGGATCTAGGTGCATTGATACATTTGTCTATTAATAAAGCATATTTGATATTATATATATATATATATATATATATATATATATATATATATATATATATATATATATATATATATATATATATATATATATATATATATATATATATATATACTATATTTGACTGCTCCATAAAATTTACATATCTTTTCTATAGAAAAATATCTAAAATAAAATGTGTTAAAAACTTTACCTCCTGGTATCTAAGTTCCAAATTGGTACAACATAATGCCTTTATCCACATAAATCTTTAATTATTAATAAAAACTTATTTTAAATTATTTGTGTGTGCGTGTGTATGTGTGTGTGTAACAAGTATGTAGTTTGATTGTTTGTTAAAAAAGTGCAATGTCAAAAATTAGATCTACAATACAAAATTTATAGCTAAACTTTAGTTTTTAATTTTTTTTTGTTTTGTTTTTTTAAAACTTTATATATAATATCTGATTTTAAAAAAATACTTTCTAATTGATGCTCATGGAAATGCACTACACCATGTTATCAAAGTGGTATTAAAGTTAAAAACCATTTTATTGATCAAAATTAAAATGAATTATAAAAAATACACCTGTATTACATGATCTTTTGTAGCATTTTTGTTACATTTATTATATTATATTATATTATATTATATATATATATATATATATATATATATATATATATATATATATATATATATATATATATATATATATATATTAGGGTGGATATATATATATATATATAAATATATATATATATATATATATATATATATATATATATATATATATATATATATATATTCAACATCTTTGCTTCCAACAAGGCTACAAGCAACCACTATTAGAGATGGAAGTTGCTTGAAGAGAAAAGATGAAGTTTATAGAGCAAGATAATGATTCAGAGACGGCTTAAAATATTGCAAATTATATGAATAAGGAAAACAAGATAAAGGAAGCGAATTCCAAAGAACTGATGTTGAATGAAAAAAACTAGTCTAATTGGAATTTTTTGAGCACTTAGAAACAGTCACAGTAAAAGGATGTAATTTAGTAGAATGTTGAGTGATACAAAAATGAATTTAATAGATGGCACAAGAGACGCAAGCTCTTTAGAACAGTGCCCAATATAGTATTTGTAGAAAAGATAAAGAGGTAACATTACGACAATGTGATAATGGTTAGAGATTGGCTGCAATAGTAGGTCCAACTATGTTTACAATGCAATTTTGCACTGTCTAAAAGAGAAAGGGCATCATTGGAAGATCAGCCCCAGATATGGCAACAGTATTCCATACAAGGACAGCTTTGAGATTTATAGAGATAAAGAATAGAATCCGGAGTAAGATAGTGCCAAGCACAATAAACAGATGCAACCTTAACAGATGCTAATTTTAGAAATGTCAAGAACGATAGTCTTAATCTCTCCACATCTATATAATGCACGATAAAACCCATCGGTAAAAGATTCTAAAAGGGAAGTGTTGGACACGATTTTTTTTGCAGGATTTGTAAGTATCGTAGATATTGAGTATTATGTGATACCTAAGGCTTGTTCATATATTAAGGCTTGAAATTGAAAAAAAATGTTATAGCAGGCTTGGATAAGAATGGAGTGGGCTCAAGCGCTACTGCTGACCACAATTGTTTTTTTATTTCTTGACAACTTGACCACGATTGTTTATATGTTTTGATGATTTAAACATTTTAGAAATGCACTGAATGGAGAAACGCTAAGCTAAACTTAAACTAGGAAAAAGTGTTAAAAACTAATGAAAAAAAAATTCCTAACGAAAAAAGAAACGAAAAAAAATTCTTTACGAAAAAGAAATTATATAAGCACTTTAATAAAAAATAAAAAAATAAACTTCAATTCTAAGCGAAACTTTTTTTTATGTTTTTAACCGCGTTTGAAATAAATCTTTTAAAACACTATATTAAAGTTACACAAAATGCTTTTAAATTAATAAATTACTACTAACAATTGTTTAATAAATGAACAAATTTTATCAAATATTTTAAAAAGTGTTGTATTTAATATTTTTAAATTGTATATATATTTATTTTATCAAAAAAGTTGCAAAAAAAAAATTTAATAAATGACAACTTTTTAAAATAGGAATTTTTAATAATTTCATGCTCTTATTAATGTCTAGTTAAAAAAAAGGTTTATTTCTTTTTTTTCCTTTTTTTATGAATAAAAACTCTTTTATTCATAAAAAAAGGAAAAAAAAGAAATAAATATAATGCGCCTGCGATTTAAATAAAATAAACTGCCAACAAGCAATTTAATTTAATTTTAATTTGACCATTACAACTTTATTATTAAGCGCTTCATTTAACGAATTTAAAAATTATTATAAATGATTTTTTTTACAAAATAAAATGTTTGTTTAAAAGATTTTAAGAAATCGTAAGCTATAAAAATTAATTTGTATAAACATTACAACATGTTTGAAAACTTTCCCATTAATCAACAAAATAAATTTTTATATAAGTAAATAAAGTTATTTTATATTCTCGTATAACGCACATAAAATGTGTAAAAGCTAGTAGTCGCAAAAGGTTTTGAACTTATTCATTAGTTATAGTAACTTAAAAAAAACCTTTCTCAAATTAATGCTTTAAAAGATTTTTAGGAAGACATGGGAAAATAGTTTCAAATATTTAAATTTATCATACCAACATAAAAAATAATTTATGAAAACAATTATTAAAAAAATAATTATATGGTTTAAAATTATATTTCTAAGTCTTTCGTGTAAAATAAAAATTTTAGAGAAAAGATCAACGATTAAAAGTTATTCATAACGTAACACTTTTTATTGCATTTGAATTGTTAAAACATCAAAATAGCTGTATTCAAGTTGTAAAGGAAAAAAACTATTAGCGTGGTCAGTTACAGAGTGCGATCGCATGCCATTCCTGTCCAAGCCTGTGTAGTATACTTACAAAATGACCCATTACAGCAGAGGCGCTAAGTTTTGTAAAAATATAAACATGTTCAAATGTCAATACAACATGGTCCTAATATAATAATAAAAAAAACTTGTGTGATTTTGTCACACACATGATATAACATGAATTAAAAACTGAACAAAAATTGAACAGCAAGAAAACTATATTGCTAATTAAATGAAACTTAAATTAAACATTTAAATTTCCATTTAAAAATTAGTTGTTCATTCAGAAATAGAGTCATTTACAGACATGAAATAAATTATCCACCTCATCACTCATATATTTTACTCTACTGAAGTAATTTTTTCTAAGAATAGTGAAATGACTGTATTATAGTCTTCTTCGCATAATGAATAATACCAAAACTTTTGAAAAGGAGCATCTACTAAACAGATCATTTTTTCAGTTTGGTAGTTTATCTCGTCGGCAGTAACTGGCTAGCGAAAAGTATTCTTCACTTGCCCGTTATTCATACAATTAACTCTGATCCAAGTTATAGATACCTAAAAGTATTAGCGCAACATTTTAAAATAATATAATATAGAATTTTTTAATTTTGTTTACATTCAGTAAAACTTATCAAGTCTAATCTAATGATATTATATCTAATATATCTTTCTCAAATTACTTTTACATTCTATTTATATTGCTTTTATTTTAGAGCACTGTGTTGTAAAACAAAACAAAAACTTGAAAACTAGTATATGCTTTGAATAATATCCTTCTCAGTATATATAATATTCAATTGCTTTTCATATACAATAGCAACCCAATCATTAAGGTTTCACACAAGACAAATTTTTTTTGCAAGTTTGGCAATGTCTTCCTTGTATTTATTTCCATCATCATTGTCCCCTGTCTGATTGCAGTCATCATTTTCGCCATAAACTTCTTTGTTATCAGGGTTTTCACTCCTCCTTAAAAACTTTAAATATCCTTAAAAAAAAACTTCTTAAAAGTCTTTAAATAACTTCAAAAAAAGTTAAAATTTGACTGCTCTCCTTAATTTCTCCTTTCTTTCTTTTTTTTTCCATCTATAAAATTTTATTAAAGCATATGGATTATACTTATCTATAGAGAAGCAAATAGTTACTTAAATACTTCTTTAATGAGTTAAAATCCGATATTATAGTTTTACATATGTGTATATATATATATATATATATATATATATATATATATATATATATATATATATATATATATATATATATATATATATATATATTTATATATATATATATATATATATATATATATATATATATATATATATATATATATATATATATATATATATATATATATATATATATATATATATATATATATACCACATATATATCATATATGTATTATATATACCGGCCTATGAGTATTAGAGTAAGTTTTTTTATGTTTTTTTTGGCTTTTTGTATTTGACTATCACTTTCTTTAAATAATTTTATTTTGTTTTCTTTACAAGTGAACACCATGCTATAAGGGAAGAATCTTAGTATTTAATTGACTCTCTTTTTTAACTACAGCTATATATATATATATATATGTATATATATATATATATATATATATATATATATATATATATATATATATATATATATATATATATACTTAATTACAGCTAAATATATATACTTTAGGAAAAAAACCATTAGAAAGATATTAAACAAACTTGATATTAAAAAGATTGTTATATGATTCTCACTAATTACCTTTAGATGCCCAAATATATAATTAGTTTCTGGGATATTTGGTATAATAATGATAGTTACACTTTT